CATGAATGAACAGGAGGAGATGTAGATCACTTCCCATTCATTCATAATTGAGGATATAGTAAACAGACTCTTTCCTCAATTATTTACAAACACTCAGCGATCACTGAGTGTTCGCACTCGTCCCCTTCCTGACACGTTGCCACAGCAGGCTGAGTGAGAGGAGTTCAGCCTCCTGTGACAGCGCTGGCTGTCTCCGCCCACACATTGCTCTGCCGATCTGTGATAGGCGGCTGAGCGGTGTGGGAGGAGAGATGCCGGCCGCTCACAGCGCTCTCCTCCCTCAGCGCTCGGCCGGCATCTTCAGCAAGTCGTCTTCACCACGTCTAGATGCCTGAATGCATTGAGTTGCTGCCATGTGATTGGCTGATTAGCAATTTGTGTTACTAAGCAATTGAACAGGCGTACCTAATAAAGTGGCCGGTGAGTGTATATATTAGGTGCAATTAGGGATTCCTGCATCAGGAACTTGCGATTTCCTGCAGCAGGAAACCCTAATCTGTCGTTTATAAGCGGCAGCTGTCACCCGTTCAAGTTAATGACCAGGTGACAGCCGCTGTATTTAAACACCTGTACCCCACAGGTGTTTAAATACATATAATCATATTGCATACCTGTATTGTATGCGATATGATTATATGCGGTCAGGGATCAATCACTCTCCCTGAACGCATCGATCGAGTGATTGATTCCTAACTGCAGGTAATTGTATCACATATGATTTCACGCGGTGTGCTGGTGTTTAAATGCAGCGGCCGTCACCTGATCGTTAACTTGAATGGGTGACAGCTGCCGCTTCTTGTAAATGCAGATTAGAAAAACCTGCTGCAGGAGATTGCAAGTTCCTGACGCAGGAATCCCTAACGGCACCTATGATACAGGTGTGAATGAGAGCTAACAGTTATATTTGCAGGACCAACTTTTGGGGATCTACCATCTTGGTCATGGACTGAGAAGAAGGGGGCGGATCTCCGAAAGCTTATTCTGAAGTGCAAATAATAACAGTATCCCAGATTAGTATTCATCTGGGTTGCTGAATAATAAGATGAAGAATCGGGATTCTGCACCTGCACGTAACATGCAAATAAGTTCGCGGCTTCCTCTTATTTTTAGAACCATCATGTTTTCCTAATTACCCAGCCAGGCTGGTGCTCCGAGGATGGAAGATGGCTGCCGTCGGGCTAAGCGAGCCCGGGAAATTACTTGTTATTTCTTAAAGGTAAAAGGAACTCGCTACTCTCCAGCAGAGAAAGAAAATAAAAGAGAAAGGAATACGGCGGCGTAGCGTGCATTTCGCCGCCACACTGAGGCTGCAGTTTTGCCTCGCAGCTCCTGCGCTCCTTCGGATAATTCTAAAGTCAGCAGATTCCAGTTTCCTCTCCTCCTTCTCGTCGCTTTGATATAGCACTTTCTAAGGGCCTGGCTCCCCCGAGGCCTCCTTTGCTATACTCTTACCCCTCCGAGTCCCGGGGAGGACATGAAAGGATCACGGTTGTGTTCCTATTTCACGGATCTCTTTCATTGACTGAGATCAGAAGCCTTTCTTATCGGAGGTAAATTGGGGCAACTGTGTCTAGGACTCTGCGCTATTCTGCCTGGTATCCAGATACCCGTCAATGATTCACAAAGAGTAAAAACGTCTGCCGAAGACAAGCCGCGGTGTGATTTTAGAGAGTACTCAGATCGCCTTAATAATGTAACTTTTACCTGAAAGTCACTTTTTTTTTCATGTGGCTTTCTCATTCTTGTTTGCTGTGCTGGATATCCACGGTCATTAGACGTGCGCCGAAATGGAAATATTAAAACCGAAATTAAAAAAATTGTCAGGCCGAAACCGAAAAAAAAATGTATTTTAATTTTTTCACATTTTAAAATATTTTATTTTTTATAAACTTTTACATTTTTTTATAGTTATTTTTATTTATTAATTCTTTTTTTAGTCATAGTTTATCAGCTTACAGATTTTTATTCTAGTGGCAAAAAAAAACTGTGCTAAATGGCTGCCGAGATAAAATCAATTGCAGAAGAAGTTCATTTCTAAAAGTCTGGTTTAATGGTTTAATCAATGTTCTTTTACTGTTTTTTTCCCCCTATTTATTTATTACAGGTATTTATACAAAACTGACAATTTATACCGAGCTTGAAATAGCTCCCGCACTCCAAAAGACAGGTAGGTCAACTGGCTCCTATCTAAATTGGCCCTATTATGTGTATGCAGGAGCTAGATAGAGACCTTAGATTGTAAGCTCCTTGACCAATGCAAAGGAGTTCTTTCCAATAGGGTAAAAATGACAAGTTCCCTTGTTAGAGCCCTCACTCTTCCCCCATCAATATTCAAACCACTTATCTGTTAACCTGTCATGGAGTCACGGCTCTAATTCCTGTGTAAGCCTTGTTTGGGTCAGAGTCCAACATGGACTACAGATACTGCCCACCAATCAGCAAAACACTCTCTGCTGATTGCTGGACCCCAGCTGTGACTCAGCAGGGGACGTGTCAGACCACTGCAGAGAGACCACAGCAGAGAGACCACTGCACAGAGACCACTGCACAGAGACCACAGCAGAGAGACCACAGCAGAGAGACCACAGCAGAGAGACCACAGCAGAGAGACCACAGCAGAGAGACCACAGCAGAGAGACCACAGCAGAGAGACCACAGCACAGAGACCACAGCACAGAGACCACAGCACAGAGACCACAGCACAGAGACCACAGCACAGAGACCACAGCACAGAGACCACAGCACAGAGACCACAGCACAGAGACCACTGCAGAGAGACCACAGCATAGAGACCACAGCATAGAGACCACTGCAGAGATACCACTGCACAGAGACCACAGCAGAGAGACCACAGCAGAGAGACCACAGCAGAGAGACACCAGCACAGAGACCACAGCACAGAGACCACAGCATAGAGACCACTGCAGAGAGACCACTGCAGAGAGACCACTGCAGAGAGACCACTGCAGAGAGACCACTGCAGAGAGACCACAGCACAGAGACCACAGCACAGAGACCACAGCACAGAGACCACAGCACAGAGACCACAGCACAGAGACCACAGCATAGAGACCACTGCAGAGAGACCACTGCAGAGAGACCACTGCAGAGAGACCACTGCAGAGAGACCACTGCAGAGAGACCACAGCACAGAGACCACTGCAGAGAGACCACGGCAGAGAGACCACTGCAGAGATACCATTTCAGAGAGACCACCGCAGAGAGACCATTGCTTCCACAAAGAAAGCAGCGGATCTTCTCAGCAGCATAGCACGGGACACAGAATTTTCTAATCTCCCTGGGGCTGCTTTACAAAGAAAGACAACAATAAGACGCTGACAACTTACAGTTCTCCTGAACGCTGAATTTATATCATGCATTTCCCCTGAAAGTGAGATTTATACTGGAGCAGCACAGCAGCCCGGTGTGCAGATTTAACTTGGCAATGGCTTTTCATTTCTTTTTTTCTTAAGTTAAATTGCCGCCGAAGGTTCTGGTAGTGCTAAAGCCCATTACCTCCAGTACCATACACAATCCATAAAAATCGCAGAGAACAACTTGCCGCATTGTGCATTACGGGTACTGGAAAGAAAGCGCTGGACCCCCAAGGTTCGCCCTGCTGGTGCGCCTCGCCAATAATAATGTGAAACAGTCAGTATAAGTGATCTGACTACCAAACGGGAAGCTTCTACATCCCGCAGGATCTCCACTGTCTCATTGGTTTTTAGTGTCAAATTGCACGATTGTGAGTTAAAGCACCACACACAGTCCAGATGCATCCTTATTCAATGTAGTGCTGAAGGGACAGTATAGAAATAGCCAATGTGTTTCGGGGGTCTATACATCATCATACACCATCATCAGGGTTTGTCCAGTGTATGAGAAAGCATATAGCTCCTCATCATCTGGATTGGCAGCCAAAGCAGCTGCTGATAAGCTCTATGCAGCCATTCTCATACACTGGACAAACCATAACAAAGGGGGTTTTTGCTATAATCCTCTGAAATGCGTTGGCTATTTCTATCCCTACATTGAATAAAGATGTACAAGGACTCCTAAAGAAGAACACTGGGCAGCTAAAAAATTAACTCTTGCACTGCAAGGGTTAACTGCTCGTTGGCCTAGGGTCTAAAATAAAAAAAAAGATATACTCACCCTATCCTGCTAGACCGGTTTCCGCAGTTTCCCGTGCCCTGGGCTCCAGCGTCTAATGTCCTGTGACGTCATCACGTTCATTACCTTGCACTGGACGCGAGGATGTCGAGGGACATTTCACAGCAAGAGCAGAGGAGGGGGAGAGAGGTGAGTGGCCCTGGGACGGGGGATCAGGTGAGTATATATATATTTTTTATTTTAGACCCTAGATGAGAATGAGCACTTAACCCTTGCAGTGCTGGGGTAGCCCCACTCCAAGGGTTAATTTTTTAACTGTCTGACGTTCTTCCTGAAGGTGCCCATACACCTGCCGATTATCGTGAGATAATCGGCAGGTGTATGGGCAGCATGCGACCGCTTCTACTGTACGGTCGCACGACTTTCGTCTTATGAGCACGCTGGAAAACCCGCCCCAAAATCGTACGATTTTCGGCTGGTTGGTAGCGCGATCACAAGACAAAAGCCGCACGGGCCGGTGTGCGCAAGTGCACACTGCCCGCTCAGCATTGAAATCATCGGCAAGCCCGCCCCTCAGCGGGGAGGGCTTGCGATGATCGCAAGTACGATCTGATCTGCCTGTCCAAGATGGGCAGTTCGTACGGAATTTTAATCACCTTACAACCATCGCACAACGAAAGTCGTGTAGGTGTATGGGCAGCTTTAAACGGTGTGTGGCTCATCAAGTCACAATCCTGCAAATTGACATTGTGTGCTCCATGGCTGCCGATCCGAGTGGCTTAGTGTTCTCTAATGAACAATTCAGCCACAGACTGACCCCCACTGCCCGTATTAGCAGGCGCTCAGGGAAATCATAAACACATGAAATGGGTTAATCGTCACTTTACCTTGCGAGCTTGGACAATTCTCCTCGTCGCTATTGTCCTTGCAGTTATTCTCCCCGTCGCAGACAAAGCTCTTGTCTATACACAGCTTGTTCTTGCAGTGGAATCGAGACGTCGAGCAGAGCAGCGGGTGAGCAGCTGGAAGAGATGAGCCGCAGAGTCAGGATAAAACTCTATTCTCCTCCAAGGAAAGGAAAAACAAATTCTCCTCCAAGCATACAAGAAACTGCAGTTTGTAATTCTGGCATTGCAGCGGTGGCGGCAACTTGGAAATAAGGGATTAACAGTGTGGTCCAGGGCTCACTTCCTACTAGGGACACCAGTGGAATGGAGTTTATTATCCTCCCCATATTGATGTGCGTGTTGCCATGTTCAAAGCTGATTGTACAATCTCCTTTCGGTTATCCATGCTGGCAATACACATGGCAAGGTTATAGCAATGCAGTCAAGTTTGTGGTTGGAAGCCGGTTTATATTGCCAGAAAGTTGCCATGCTTACCACATTGGGCAGTAAGAAAATGGCGGATGAATTTACAATCTCTTCTGCTGGTCATACAATGACAATCAGATTTAGATTTACTGAGATCTATGTAGAGTGGAGAATTGTCTGACAGATATAAATTGAATGGAGGGTTGCTGAACAATCAGAAGCTGGGCGCCGTGTAATGACGCAGCGCCTGGCTTTCTGATTGGATGGGAAGTCGGCTTCATGCTCCCTCGTCACATAGTGACGAGAAGCATGGGGGCGGCTTCCTCGCTAATCAGGCCGGTATTCGGTATCGGCGAGTACCGACAAAATAATAATATTTGTACTCGTACTCGGTACCGAAATACCGGTATCGGTGCACCCCTAATTGGTTCTATATAGGTTCTAACCCAACACTGGGTCAAAGTTACATAGTATTTGAGGTTGAATAAAGACACATGTCCCTCAAGTCCAACCTATTCATACAGAATCAGAACCCGTCCCCATATGACAACAATTGGAAAGAAGCAGGACAAAGTCACATGGTCCTCCATACTAGGAAGTGCCGGGTATTCCACCTTCAGCCAAACAGAGAAGCAGGTGAATAAGAGGAGGACTTCTCAATAAGAGTAAATCTCTTATTATATTGTGCTCCTTAACCCCCCTGCCCCAAAACGGACCCATAGGTTTCTCCTGAATGGGCAAAGTATAGAGTAACTAAGAGACTTACTGCAGTTCTCCTCGTCGCTGCCGTCCGGACAGTCCTCGAGTCCATTGCACTGGAAGCGCCCGATGATGCAGTGGACCCCGCTGGCACATGGGAAGAACGTCGCGCCGCACTTGGAATTGGCTTTAGCTGTGAAGGAAAGGAGATGTTCAGGAATATTTTTGAACTGTCCGTGGAGACAAAAACAAGGGAACCCTGCTGCCATGCAAACGGGTGATGCAAAAACACAACAGTGACATTCCGAACACTTCTCACAATGGATATTTCAAAGACATTATTAGATATATATGCAACAAGACAGATGATAGGCATGATGTTGATGATGTCACCACCTCTTATAAGATATACGGGGGTCACAATTGAAAGCATAGTGTCTATGGATGGTCCTATAAAACCTGATTATCTCAAGCAAGATACCTGCACACCTACCATGGCATTTATGAAGGGGATCCATTCTCATTGTTTGAGTTTTTGTTTTATGTTTTATTTACCGTATTTTTCGGTGTATAAGACGCCCCCAACTTTTCTTACCCAAAATTCAGAAATCAATATTTTAAATGATATAATGCATCACACTTGCCTCTGAGTCAATCACGTTATGCTCCGACATTACAGCTCTGGGCACTGGCTACACGCTCTCCCCAGGAACAGCTGACGTCAGGTACAAAAGATTTATGATCGGATTGCAGAGACAAGATAACAGGTTTCCTCCAATCATAAATCTTTTGTACCTGACGTCAGCTGTTGCTGGGGAGAGCGGATTGCAGAGACAAGATAAGTTTTCCTCCACTCTCCCCAGCAACAGCTGACGTCAGGTACAAAAGATTTATGATTGGAGGAAACCTGTTATCTTGTCTCTGCAATCCGAAGTTTCACTCGTGAGACTAGTTTGCAGTGGTATCGGCACTTTTGGCAGTTTCGCAACTCGGTCCCCGTGTATAAGACGCCCCTCTATTTTTAGGTAAGCATTTTAATGAAAAAGTAGCGTCTAATACACGGAAAAATAGGGTAGTTTTATGTTTTATTGAATAATCAGTAGAAAGAAAGCCAACACGTTTCAGAGTGAGACATTTCACCTTCATCAGGGTTTGTGTACTGTGTGGGCTTCACGCTGCATGTATGGAGTGTCCATACATTTTATGCCTCCTTTGGGGTGTTTACTGGTGGTGCATGGTCTGGAGGGGGGGTTGTTGTGGGTGGTAAAGGGGGGCGTCCAGCTCAGCTCCCGGTGACGCCAGTAAGCTGGGTAAGACACTAGACAGAGCATCACAGGTTGCTAAGAGCTTTCAGCATCCTGGGACGCTCTGGCTGGACAGGAGTTGGCAGGCAGTGCCCCCCCACATGACCGAATGAGATGCTGTTAGAGGCAACCGCCTCAGGCTGCCTCATTATAGAGTCAGCCCTGCACATATATAACTATTACAGTACACAAGCCCTGATGAAGGGGGGTGTCTGAACCCCGAAACACGTTGGAGTTCCGCCCTCCCTTTTGGGGATGTATGAGCAGCCTCGCCCAAGCAATTAAAGCTTGATTAATGAGATGGCGTTTTTTACAACAATGGATACTAATAATAGAAGATACAGAGCCCCTCTTTGAAACTACTTAGATTTTTATAGCTGCACGTGTCCCCATCAGGAAGATTTCCATGTGCTTCCTGTTCCTAGAAGCATAAAAGGAAATTTGCCCAAATGGGAAGTCCCAACCCTGACCAGGAGCCAACGTAAAAGTTCTGGATTACCCCTCACGTTCTCTTCCGATGACAACGGTCCCCTGGACAGACGAGCTCATTTCTTTACACAGGGGCCACAGACAGTAATACCAACTTAACATAGGTTTTGACCCGATCCCCACGCTACCCAAAACCAGACTGAAATAGTTAGATTTGGATTTATTTTTACATTGTAGAAAATACAACAGGATAAGAGGGAATCACATGCGGGAACACCCAAAACTCCAGGCATAAAGCCAAGAAATATTCTAAGGAGATCCTGCCAATGGAGTCCACAAAGAGATATAAAAAGCCAGGGTTGGTCTATTTATAACTCAAATTACATTTTTGGAGGACTCACCCTTGAAGAATAACTCCAAGCATAACAAAGACAACGAGGAAGTGTTTAATACTATACAGCCATCACTGTAGCCATGTGGTTCAGTGAATGGAACATAATGTATTTAAAATGGACCCAACTTTTCTCTTATGTTAAGTCCATGTTTACTAAGTAACGTGTAAGTAACATAATTAATAAATTCTGGGTTGCCTCCCTGTGGGCACCTAATTAACACCTCTCCTCCTAACGTGTAAGTAACACATACAGATATTTATTAATATCATCCCTTACAAAGATCAGAGTGCACCCCCTGACAATGCCTTTATCTGCTTTTCTTTCTAGAATGATAGCTCGATCTTTGTTCAGGAATGATCTGGGGTCATCCTCTTCTTCCCGGACTAAGATGCCGGCTCAGGGAGGACACCAGAATTTTGGTGCATGGGCAGTTCTTGGAGTTGTGCAGTTCTTGTAGTATCACTACAAAGCCATCCTTGAGTTCTATAAAGTAGTCACCGCTCCAAGATCACTGCCATGATGGATGATAACTTCAATACTAATGGACTACAATCTCATGTTTAGTTTAGTCATTTGTATTGAGATTGTAGTTCATCATAGGAGTGAGCTTGGAGCGGTGAGTACTTTACAACACACACAGGGACTGTGGGGAACAAAAGTAGCCACCCTCCAGAAGGAAGGACGGTGTCAGCACCAATTCAGAGATGATTTGAGGATCTACAGCCGAGTGATACACAAATAAGATACATTTTTTGAATAGTTAAGGAACTTAAATGCATTTTGAAGGTTTAACTCCTGAGTTAAAGGAGAACTATGGGGTTAAGTATTTTCCCCATAGTTCTCCTTAGGGTAATGGGAGGACACAAACTAGCGTCCTCCCGTCACCCTAGGCTCAGTATACCACGAGCAGCAGCTCGCGGTATACTGAGACGCTGAAGCGGATCCCAACAATTGTGCCGGGATCCTCCCAGCTGCGTGACTGACAGCTGGCTCTGACTATCTAGAGGCAGAGCCAGCTGTACCCGCCCCCTCCCCTGTCACGGCAGAGAGCCGTGACAGGATCGAGAGGTGAGTGAACGCCAGTATGTGTTCGCTCACCTCCCGATCTACTGAGCCGACCTGTGACAGTCTCATTATCACAGGTCGGCTAGAACTATGAGGTGAGTGAAAAGCACTCACCTCATAGTTCTCCTTTAATGTCACTTGCAATGTGATATCCTTTTAGAATCCTTCCGATACAATATTCATTACAATGTCATATGTGATTTCCGAGTTTGTATCAATGTTTCAAAGGCAAAAACACAGTTATCCCAAGTAGCTAGTAGCACTCAGTCACATTCAACTGGACTTGTTCTGTAATGTTGAAGTAATTTTGCAACTCATACAAACTGTTTCTTCAGTTGTGAAGACATAGCCAAGAAACGTCTTCACCATTACAGAACAAGTCAAATTGAATGTGACTATTAACTATACCATGACCTGAATAACTGAGAATATTCACAGACAGTTATGCTAAATGTTCCGGAGAGAGTCGTCCCTCAAATGGCGCTAAGTCAAGAAGAACGGCAACTGTCAATCTAGATGTACGATGTGTCAATTAATGCCTATTTAAATACCGTTCACTGACGTGAAATCTAAATGAAGTATAATAAAAAAGAAAAAAAATGAATATGCAATTTCTCATTAATGATCATCTGCAATTCCTGCAGACGGTAATGATGATAATCTCATCGCTTTCAGACGTACCTCTGAAGGGAGAGAGATTTTAAATCGCTTCCTATTCGAGACTAATGTTATCCAGACTTCTCTAAGGAGAACAGACGGCCACAAAAGAGGACAAACAAGCGATAAAACAAAAAACGCTGAGAGACTTTATTGAAGGATGCAATGAAGACTAGTCATGTCTGAGTTTAAAGGGGGAAACTAACCACGGGGTACTCTCGGAAAGGAAGCCTTGTTGGCTTGAGGTACAAAGTTTAGTAACCTTTTGCAACTGTTTTTAGCTAAGTCAGGTGACTGAAAAATACAACAGGTGACTTATCAAATAGGACTAACCTTAGAAATTATTTGTCAGTGAAATTAAACACGTTTGGGACAAACATAGATCTACACTCAGACATAAAGGTTAAAGGATAATTAAAGCCTCAGCTTTTTTTGCATATATCTAACGAGCAGTAGATATATGCAAAAAGTCTAAAAAAAAAAGGGTTAATATTAATACTTACCCGTGTCTTCGCCGCTCGCTCCCGTCCGAAAATGTGAAAATTCTCGGGCGGCCGCAAAGCATCTTGGGGCGGCCGGGCGCATGCGCAGTTCATATTTTCTGCTGGGACGCGAGGAGAGACACAAGGTAAGTCTATGGACGTGTGCACCCGCATGCAGACACCGTGGGACAGGAAGTGCCAGCAAGCTCAGAGGAGCCAGCGCTGGATCGGAGAACCGCCGCAGCGCTGGAGGGACAGATGAAAAGGACAGGAAAGAAGAAGATTGGATTAAGAAACATCATTAAAAGGTAAGTGCTGACATTAACATTGGGGGGAGGGGAAAAAACATTTTTGCCTTTAATGTCACTTTAAAAGAAGAATTATGGGGGCGAGTGAAAAACACATCCCCATAATTCAAGCCGACCTGTGACACTGAAGATGTCACATGTCGGCTCTATTGATCGGGAAGTCAACGAACACACACCGCCGGTTGCTGACTTCCCGATCCTCCCCCAGCAGAGAGCGGTGACTGTCACCGCCCCACGCAGGGAACCCCCTCTCCGATCCTCCAGCGCTGACTGGCGGAGCGGATGGGGCGGGCACAGCTGGCTCTGCTTCTAGAGAGGCAGAGCCAGCTGTCAATAAGCCGGCGGGGTGGATCTCGACAGTATTGTCGGGATCCATCCCGGGCTGCGGCTCCGCTCAGCACTCTCAGCATATAGCAGGCAATAGCCCGCTATATACGGAGTTTTGGGTCACTGGAGAACATTAGTATATGTCCTCCAGTGACCCTGAAGAGAACTTTGGGCAAAAAAAAAGTTGTTCTCCTTAAAATGTAAATTGACTTTGTCACAAATTGTG